AAGACTAGAGGGAAGGCAGCTAGTCATCACCACCCACCAAAGTTACACGAGGGCTATCTGCACTAGCCGTCCCTAATTTAGCAGTGTAAGACTAGAGGGAAGGCAGCTAGTCATCACCACCCACCAAAGTTACACGAGGGCTATCTGCACTAGCCGTCCCTAATTTAGCAGTGTAAGACTAGAGGGAAGGCAGCTAGTCATCACCACCCACCAAAGCTACCCGAGGGCTATCTGCACTAGCCGTCCCTAATTTAGCAGTGTAAGACTAGAGGAAAGGCAGCTAGTCATCACCACCCACCAAAGCTACCCGAGGGCTATCTGCACTAGCCGTACCTAATTTAACAGCCAACTCTTGGACTACTTTTTTACCAACGAATAGAGGGATTGCTCGTGCCATGATGACGCCCCATCGGATGAAAGGGGCGAGCATGTTTAGTGGAACGGGGATTCAAACCCGCAGATTGAGAGTAGAGCTCCCTAACCACCTGGCCATGCCGTGCCCCCCCCCCGTATACTTTACTGTAGTCATGGGTATAATAGTGATAACTTTACACTTGACTGTATTCCCTGTTTTTTATACTACACTGTATTATTTAAAGCTGTTTATAATTTCCATCTGACCAACCTTAATGGATTTCAATTTTACTATATTTCCTCATGCAGTGTTTAAGTAAATTGTGCCTGTCTGCACGAATGGTGTCTGATGTACTGGTATGAGCTAATAAAACAAGTCTTTTTTGATAGAAATAATGATTCAAAGAGTAAAATATAAATGTTCGTGTTCCAGGATTGAGACTTTCTACGTCTAGCTTGCTATGCATGTAAAACATATTACAATGAATAATAATAGTTAATCATATTATTCAACATTTCTAAACAAACCACAAGTTAGGGCCACTTTAATTTGAATGTAGAGCTTCTTAATAACAATTACTAACTATAAAGGGTTTACTCCCTTTATCACTGTTGAAAACACTTTTATGCTCCTTTCTTGGTATTGCTCAACAATATATAATGTCGCTTAGCAACAAAATTATCACATAATTGTTCTTAGGCCAACTATGGTGTTTATGTTGAATGCTCAATATTCATGTTGATTTGTTAGAAAGGTTTTTTTTTAATCTTTCTTTTTTGATAACTTTGGTGATATAACAGAAAAATAGTTTAATTCAGAAGTTTTATGCCATTGAGTTGTAGCCAAAAGTAAAATAAAATTTACCAAATGTTTCAGCTAAGCCTTACATCACGTTTATGTATTAAAGACTATAAATAGGCCTACTATTATTAACGTTATAGAATCAAACGTTAGTTAAACAAATATTCTTTTGGTATTTTAACACGCATATTATCTACTTGGCCTTAAAACAAAGAAAAATAAACGTGTATTACTATCTGCTTTTTTGGTATTTTAACACATATATTACCTACTTGGCCTTGAAACAAAGAAAATATACGTGTATTACTAACAAATATATATTCTTTGGTATATTATCTACTTGGTGTTAAAACAAAGAAAAATAAACATTTACGTCTGAATGTTCACACCATGTTTTCTACTTCCTCATCTTAAATACTGTGAAAAGGTTCAAGAGTGCTATTTAAGTGTCTTTCAGATTTCACAAGTATTTTTGTTCATGATAACATTTTAACTGTCTGCCTAGTATTTACTAAAAAATGTGGTGATTAATGAATTATTTCAAGACTGATGAATAAGTGAAGAGTGGGGGCATGTTGGAGGTATAGACAAATTTGTTTTAGTTAAATTCTATAATTTTCAATTACCATTCAACAATGGCTTCCTGTCATTTTTGACCGGCTTTTATACTAGAGATTATGTAAGAGTTGTTAAGTATAGAAACTTTTTTACAGTGTAAAAGTAAACCATTTCATTATTACTCACAGTTCAATAAAAAAACATACACCAGAAGTGTTCAATGTATAGTCAAGTGAAAAACCCTTTGACATATTTTTGTATTTAACAATATTGTGTGGCATACTTTGCAAATGACAAAAAATAATAGTTAGTATTTAGTTTACACAAAAATGGTTTTCCATATTCAAACAACTTTTCTCTGTCTTAGAAGTCAAAGTTTTAATTATTCAGGAACCTACTGGGTTCACTACCGTCTGCAAACTATGAAGTAAATACCCTAACGATACGAGTACAAAAATTACACCATTGCTTGTTATATTTGAAGCTTTACATTCAAATAAGTTGTCATATATAATATATGTGTGACCAAAATCAAAGGTTTGTAACAGTTTTGTGGCTTTTACATCTAATAAAGTACAGGCTCAGGAAACATTGAGAGATAACGGATTAAAAAAACAGTGTGTCGTACTAATCTTTTATCAGGTAAAAATCAATTGAAATCTAATTTTCTCCTTTAAAACTAACATTTTCCCAGACACTTCCAGTTTTCCTCTTAAAACTTATCTTAAGAAAGTTACCAACTGTAAGTTTGGACAGAGGTTTTTAATCTAAGACAATTATCTTTCAATCATTCCAAAAGACTGAGGCAGTCAGGAGTCTTGTTGTGATTCAGTGTTCTTTTAAGACAAAGACATTTTTTTTTTCTCACCATCCTTATTTTATTAATGTAGGGACTTCACCAAACATACATCACTTTAGTCATGAGGTCTTGTTTACTGGAAGAGAAAAATAAGCACTTTCAGTCTGACAGACCGAAATAACACAAAACCTGGAAAAGAACATCAACTTAAACATTTGAAAAGATGATAGCCCAAATACTTTTTATGGTAAGGCATCCCTCCCCTGGTATTTAAGTCTAGGAGTTTATATGTAAAAAGAAAAAAAGGGGAAAAGAAAAGAATGAAGTCCCTTCACCAACAAATATAAAGTTGTTTGTTTTCCCACAATAACTCCCAGTGAAACGGTGAGTAAAAAGCAGAGGATGGTAGAGAATGAGAGAAGTCTTCAAAGACATGGTTGTAAGGCTTGCTTTATCTCTGTATAAACAAATAAAAACAAATTTACTATAAAACTATTCTGTCTACAATTCAACTTATACATCAATTCTTTATACAAGTTCCTACCCAGTTAACTGAGAAACAAACAGTTTGTTTGATCAATATAAAGTAAAGAACAAAATGTGAGATTAGCTAAGAAAAACTAAAGGTGAAATAATAAAACTATACAGATAGTTAAATGCAAAAAGAAAAGAATTCTGTAATATATCTTAAAAAGCACTATAGGTGTGCTGTATCAACAGATAATTCCCAGACTAACAGATGGTAACGTAATGTACATGTGAATTGACTGAAAATACAAAACATAATGGCTCTAATTCTAAAAATGTTATTTTAATAACAATTTTTGATCAGTAAAACATTCACTCATGAGTCGTTTCCCCACAATATACACAGAAACACCGTTAGTTGTTTCCCCACAGTATGCACAGAAACACTGTGAGTCGTTTCTCCACATATACAGAAACACCGTTAGTTGTTTCTCCACAACAGATACAGAAACACCGTTAGTCGTTTCTCCACAGTATACACCGTTAGTCGTTTCTCCACAATATACACCGTTAGTCGTTTCCCCACAATATACACAGAAACACCGTTAGTCGTTTCCCCACAATATACACAGAAACACCGTTAGTCGTTTCCCCACAATATACACAGAAACACCGTTAGTCGTTTCCCCACAATATACACAGAAACACCGTTAGTCGTTTCCCCACAATATACACAGAAACACCGTTAGTCGTTTCCCCACAATATACAAGAAATACTGACACATTTCTGGATAAAAATTACCACAATTACTCTGGTCGTTTATAAGAACTACAAATACTACTACCAGCACTAAGTGTGTAACTCTTCTACAACAACTTTAGCTCTGTGTAAAGATAGAAAACCTCCAGTTAGGAAGGACAAATACTACTACCAGCACCAAGTGTGTAACTCTTCTACAACAACTTTAGCTCTGTGTAAAGATAGAAAACCTCCAGTTAGGAAAGGACAAACCCAACATGTAATGAAGATCAAATTTTACAGATATCTATATGCAGTTCACCCAGATGTTCTCACTAATCTCGTTTACCAGCACCTAGACACTGACAGAAAAGCATTCCACTAGGACATTAAAAATCTTTTAAACCAGAACATATCACATGCTAATAAAACAAATTACAATAAAGTCACCATTTATGGATTACTTAAATACGTGGAGATCATAAGACATTAAAGCTTTTAAATGTTAAAACATCTCAGACTTATACACCAAGTTTCTGAGCTTGTCCTAAAATATAGTACATTATCATGCATGTAAAATAGCCTTAACGTAATTCACAGAATAGAAATGTTTTAGCAAACTGAAGGAATGAAACAAGTATACTTACTTTCTTACCAGATGCAGCTCCAACCTTAGCTTTAGCTGTCCCTCTAACCTTCTTCATCCTGTTCTTTCTTTCCTTTCTCTGTTTCCTTCCTGTTTTAACTCTTTCTGCGAGTCCATTCTAATAATACAGAATTAAAATGATCAGCCTTCAATTAAACAAATATTTCTTTGTATGTTGCCAAAATTGTTGATAGACTTTTTTTTTATATTAATAATAAAATATAAAAGATATACGTGGCCAAATTATTACTCATGCCTCTTCTGTTTTGAATAAATATATGTCTAGAAAACATTCTTATGATCAATTGTTATAAGGTGTTTGGCTGAAACGTACCCATGTCAGTTCCCAAAATGTTAAAGTTACTAAGTTTTAAAAATAACTGAATACATAATTAGAAAAGTATTTTTCTCACTGATATACACCGTTTCCTTATACATAAGAGTACAAAAATGATAAATGTCCAAGATTTTTGTATAACAATTCTTCTTCATTTCTCAACATTCTTTTAAAATGAACGGTTCTAACGGACAAACTCAGTAATGAGAAAGCATTGATTAAAGACCTAAAGTCAGACCACAACCCAGAATCCAAACGTTTTACACAACAAGACTGGATCCGGGTTGAGTGTTGTTGATAAATACAAATGACAGTTAAATAGACAAGGTAGAATAATGATAAAAAAAGACTCCAGGTTCACGTTATGTTCACCAACCAATCACTGCTTGGAACAGCAAGAATTTCATAAAGTCACTTGCTCTTCTATTCCTCCAGTCATGAGTGAGAACCCTACAAAAACTACCTAACTAAAATGGAGAGGCATTGTTAAAAGTGATGAAAGATTGTCTCTCTTTATACTGATCCCCTAAGAAAGTTATCTATTTTACAGTTCACAGTGTTAACATCAGATAATTTATTAGATTCGAAAACAAAAAAATGTGTTAAATTGTTTTTTTAATATTTACAAGTTTTTAAATGTACATAAATCAACAGTAAACTGCAGAGAAACAATTATATAAATTATGGAACACAGTTTTTCACTTTCAGTGACTTTTACACCTACTACCCCTTAAATGGTAGGTTTTCTCTCTCCTAATTTAATACTGGGGAAAAGATCTTTTTTCTATACAAAAATTAAGTTTAAGCCCTGTAAAAACGAATATACAAGTCTTATTAACTGTACAACACATACACAAAGAAAAAAACACAAGTCACATACCCTAACAAGCCTATATTTTGGCTCAAACTTTTTGGCATAATCCAATGTGTCATATATCAGCGCAAATCCCGTTGTTTTACCTCCTCCAAACTGTGTGTGGAAACCAAAGCAAAAGATGACATCGGGAGTAGTCTTATACATACGAGCCAGCTTTTCTCGGATTTCTGTCTTTGGTACCGTGGCCCGTCCAGGATGCAGGACATCGACAACCTGATGGGTGTAAATAATAGAAGTTAAAAGGTTTCTTACCTAAGTTAAGTGTTAGTTCACTGATGTTGGAAACAGTCACCGGCACAAGAAAAACCACTGATAAAAGCCAGAACACACTGAACATTTTTTAACTTAAGTCTTTGATCATTCAAGTCCTATATGAAATTCTGATCAAAATGTATGAATAATTTATAAGTGACACTGACATAACCCTTATTAAGTATTAAATGTCTACAGATTCATAAATGGTGGTACTGCAAGTGAAGGACACTTCTATTTCAGGGAAAATGAAGAAAATGGTTTCTTTCTAATTGTACTTAAAGTCAGTCAAACAGATCAAGAAAGTTCAAATACACAAAATGCATGTAAACACTACACATTATGCTGTGTTAGTTGAAACAGTTTTACACGTAAACACTACACATTATGCT